ATAAGTACAATTTTTTATTAGCATATGATTTTGAATGCAATCATATAGATTTAGGAGCAATATACACAAATATTTAGCTAATTAGGATTACATTCTATTAAGGGCTGTAATTTTTTCAAATAATAGAAATATTTTTATATTATAAAAACCGTTTTTTATTTGACTGTACTTCCTCGTCATGAAAAATTAAGATAGGAACTTAGATCATATTTATGGTCCCAACTTACCACTCAAAATAATCATTAAACATAGGTGTCATTCGGGACCACTAGCTTCGGTCCCGAATGCCGCCACAAAATAATTTATTAATTCCATGTCCCCGTCAGGACCAGTGGTCCCGGTCCCAAATGACTACCGACTCCTCTTCTCGACGAGCATGAAAGTTGGAGGGTAACTTGGCGAGGGTCACGAGTCATACGCGACAGTATACATATATATGACTATTTTATTTTGCTCATTATTCTTTTTTTTATTGACTGTAATCTTTTTTTTGGGCAAAGTTGTTTTGTGCATGACCAAATGTCTTATTCTGATTTTATACTTAGGTTACATGAATATACTACATACAAGCAGCTTTAAGTATTAAATTCGCCGACACTACAGAAAATGTAATAAATACACATTTATTATAGTAATTAATCTCTCACTTAACGTTAGTCGAACTAACGATAATGGTTTAGGTTTCAAGAAACGTTGTAAACTCAAATGAACCATTGGTTGGTTTGTATCAGCAGAATAAGGGTCCTAATTAGAATAAATCTATTGTTAGGACACTTAAAATCCGTTAACTATTAAGAAGAAGAAAACAGCCTAGAACGACTTGAACTGGTACACTTACATTTGCACACACTAGATAAAGAATTTTTAGAAATAACGCCTGAAAAATAACGAGACACTGTTGTGTTTAGGGTTCCATAGTCCTGACAAGGAACCCATATAGTTTCGTTATATCCGTCTGACTGTCCGTCCTCGATTTTGCTTGGAGACTGTTTGCGCTAGAGAGCTGTAATTTTGTGGAGATATGTATATCATTCATGCCGACCAAAGCTCCTCTACATGTAACCATTTTATTTTTTCATCGTTTACCCCATCGTGTGGGTTATCGTTGAATAGGTCCTTTAAAATCATTTAAGGATTCGTATGACTATTTTTCAATTTAGGGGTCCGTTTGCGAAATATGGAACTTTAAAGTGCAAGTTTTTGTTTGTGTCGAGCGTCCCTCCCCCGCCCCCCTAAAAGCTAAACTATTGGCTTGAAAAACCCGGAAAAATTCATGATAATAGTACTTTTTATGAATTTTTGAAAATAATTGTAATAGTTAAAAGAGGTTTTTTAGTTTAAGAGTAAAGGTCGTTCAAATTATGTGTAACTATGTATCTGACCTAATAAAAATTCCTTAGAAGACAACATTAAAACTGACTTAGACGAAGTAATTGCTTAAAATATGACAACGAGCAACTGCGGAACCCTACACTGCGCATGGCACGACACGCACTTGGCTGGTTTTTTACTTAACAAACAAAGTAAGTTTAACAAACAAGTAATACCTAAAGTAAATGAATTAGCTGTAGCGGTAATAGGGACCTACATATTGAACGTGAATTTATTTAACTATTGATGATGAATGAGCAGCGTTGCTTACAAATAGGGTTCCATTCGCACCTTCCGCGTAAAGAACTTTAGAAAAACAGAGGAACGTCGCAGTATCATCCCGCTCATTAGGAATGCGCACCGGGTCCGAACGCCCGCCCCCGAGGCATTCCCATAGCGACATTAATTATATACTCCTAACAGAATACAAAGCGGCTTGTCAACGCTCCTGGAACCCCGTTATGCATGGCTAGTGAAGTCTTTGCTTTTTAAACAGTTTATCTAGGGTGTAAATGCGGTTAACATGAACTCACAATATGCTTCCTTATTCAGATTCACTATAATTCATAAGATCACAGTGGAATAACACTAACTTCTAGTGGTGTTGTGTTGTCTTTCAGTGATTAAGGTTTCAGTGCTCCACGGTGTACGGGATTAGGCCAGGCTTAGATTAAAACAAAAAGGGAAGATACGGTACGCTCATTGGCTCGTGTGTGTGAGACGCTTCTGTAAATAAAGATTAAATCCAGCAAGCGAGACAGAAGTGTAAGCTCCAACGCAGCGCGAGCGAAACTTTAGACTGTGTTTCCTTTTCTCTCTCTACAGACGGCTGAGTTGTATTGTTGTCTTTTTCTTGATAAAAAACAGAGAATCAGTAACTAACATTCATTTAAGAAAAAAAGTTTTTTAGTTTTACAAATGAAAAGTGTTGCCGTGGCATTTGTTATTTGATCTTGAACTATTTGTGTTCTTTATAAAAGCGTCGAAGGCATTGTTTTGTCTTTATAACACAGAATATATGCAATATTGATATATTGAGTGCACATGCATCGTGTTTGGATGTCCAATTGTGACTAAAGCAAATTGTGGTCATGCACCACAATTTAAGCGGATCACTTTTGAGCCGCGAGTGCCGTATCTTCCCTTTTAGTTTTAATCTAAGGGTCAGGGTATGCAACGGCGCGAGTGATATTTTTTGTATCGCAAGTGTCTATATAATATGGTGGTCGCTTACCATCAGACAGGCCATATGCTAGTTTGCCACCCTTTTCATATAAAAAGCATCGTATCAGCCGTACGAGAGGCCTACTACCCCAAGGATTTTCACGCCGACTGGTTCTCCGTTATTCGTGCAAGGAAATACCGAACATTGCTCTCTCCATTGCTCCCTGTGTTACCTCAAGCTTTCTTAGGAGACCCTATGAAATTAAGAGTAATCAACGAGAAAAAATCCTACCTTGTGCCTTTTTTGACGAGCTGATGCATCAGCAAATTTTGCATATTTTTTGACAAAATTATGGGAAACGTACCATGGTAAGAGGAGCGATCGTTGAAATTAAGCTCGTTAGTTATTAGTACGAGCTCCTCCGTGCTTCTGAAGGCATGTTAAGCTGTTGGTACTAGCTGCATCTGCATCTGCAAATACACCAATCAGCACAGGACCCGCGTGTTGGGTCATGGCCCAATCTCCCATTTCATCCATAGCGAAGGCCTGTGCCCCAGCAGTGGGGACATTAATAGGCTGATGATAATGATGACTCCCTGCTTCGGAAGGTACATTGAGCGTTTGGCCCGGCCGCATGTACAGTCATAACGTCCACCAATTTATCGCCCAATCTCCTTGCAGTGGGTATATTATTTATGCTGACAATGATGATTAAAGCTTCTACACTATGTAATGAAAGGTGAATAAATGTATCATCTCTGAAGTCATTCATTATACAACTTGACGACTCCGTAAATAATAATAATACAGGGAGAAAAAAACAGCCCTTGCTGAGTTTCTTGAAGGTTCTTCTCAGTACAAGGTGTCCTGTCGTAGATTTACGGACCGTTGGCGATGGATTAGTATAGACATTCATGAGTGTTTCTAACAGCCTACACAAAATAAATTATTTTACGAGTTTGAGACGGACACGGGGCGAAATTGGCGGATAAAATCTGCTGTACCATCTCGCTCTATAGATCCGATATACATCAATAGAGAATAAAAGAAATCGATGTGATATTTTTATATTGAATTCATAATAGTATTCCTTTTTTCCATAAACATTTTGCACTTGCATGAAACAAGGACGGGTTCCTAGTAACTCATTAAATTTCATGAGCTTATGGCCATCAATCTATGAATATTTTATTCCTAAAACCCAACCTATGAATGCGAGATAAGTTCAGAGTTCATGCAGTTGAGTTGTCTGAGTTTATTTATTAATTATTTATTAAATACACAGAAACGGTAATCATATAAAACTATGATATATTTAATTTCATTACTTTGAAGAAAATATTACTAGAAAAAATTCAACGCCGACCAGGCAGCAGATGGGCATCGAACCCGCACCCTTCGCTATCCGGGCGAATGCCGGCCGAATCCTTTCTAGCTTTTCTTAAGCTGCAAGGCAGCGCCATCTCTTCGCGTTGTAGGTTTCTACTTTAGTTAGATATTGTGATTACCTAAGCGTAAATGAACTACCCTAAGCTATTCCGTCTGCCGCACGGTCCACGTGGAATTTTTTCTAACAATATTTTCTTTAGATTTAAACATGTTACATATCATTCAAAAATTTGAGTTGGACTCAAACACGAAGTCGTTTAGGTTTTGACACTGAAAATACCCGCATAAATAGGATCGAGCTGAACCATACCTTGGCAATAGAAATATACACATTAAGTCCCTTATCGAAATTAATTAATAATAATATTTTTGACGATCTTCGTGGCCGAGTGGTTTGTCTCCAGGTTTCATGGTGTCGCCGACTCGAGAGATCTCGGGTTCAAATCCCGGTGGGGGCAGATGTTTGTGTGATGAGATGAATACAAGCATTTGTACTCCAGTCATGGATGTTTAATATGTATTTCAATAAGTATGCTTATATATGTACAGTATATGTACTCAATATGTGACCCTAGTATTCCATAACACAAGCCTTATAGTGCTTACATTGGGACTAGGCAAATTGGTGCGAGTGTTTGAAATATTTATTTATTATTTATTTATTTATATCAGGATCCTTACAGTGCTTATTTTGGACTAGGCTAATTAATGTAAGTGTATAAAAAAGATATTTATGTATTTATTTCATTTCTGAGAGAAAATCTCGAAAAACGTTAATTGTACACATTGTTTTACTATCGTTAACTCAAAACTTGTTACACATACACCTAACGCCATCTGTCGAAGTTTTGAAAAACAAAGTATTGTGAAAACTCCTGAAGATGTCACTAAAGTCACGTTTCTTTAAAACAAAGCTCTACCTAATCAACAAGATGGTAAAAAAAATATCAGTTTATTTATATACCAAAAATATTTTTGTAATTGGTTTTAAAACTTTAATGTTTAATGAAATATTCATTTAAAAGGTTGAGCTTCAAGTTACGAATTCAACCAATGAGAATCGCCAGTGTGCGCTAAGCGATTGGCGCGTACGGTATCATCGCAAGCTCTGCGTCGGCCTATTTAAAAAAACCCATAAAAAGTGCGACGTGTGTAATTTTAAGGCTTCATACTTACTGAAGGCAGTGCGTTGTTGAAAAAAGGTAAGTTCTTGGATGACCCTGTATGTCTCTTTTCCTTCTTCTAGTGTTAATTTTTCTGTTGTTTTACGAGAGTACGTAAAGGTGTAATTATGTTTAATTGTTAATATAAAATTAAAACAGCTAGTTAATTAGCTTAGAGCAGAAGTTAAAATCAAAATGTCAGTAAAACATAATTTTGAAATATTTTTACTTATTATAAATTTATTATTTACTCTAAATTTAACTTTGGACTTTGCTTATTATGTTCATATTTCAAATTAAAAACAAACACCTGAGATATGAAATAAAATAGTAAAATAATACAATACATGACATAATTTTAATTTTGTATCATGTTGTTTGAACTTTTTTTCATTCGCTGCATCTTAAAATAAATAAATACAAGTGCTTCCATCTGCCGTTTAAATAAATACGAGAGTCGGTTGTAAGCAAATGGTTGGTGCTTTTGAAAGCAAACAGAAGTTTAGCATGCTTTTTATGACGCAAACATTAGTTGTATTCTTTTGGTAGAGATGGCGTTTAAACGAAAAGTTAAAGAAAAACGTGACAAATAACGCAAAATGTTTTGATTGTGTTTTTGATATAGTACCTACTTTTACTAAAACGGCCAGCAAAAGAGGCATTAATGGACGACAAGACAAACTTGTTAATGTGGGCCGAAACGAAGCCGAGGCACACATACGTAAGTCTATCAATGCCTAGTTGTAGCCAATTACACTAAGCAGTACCAAGGCAGAACTTTCGAAATTCTGAAAAATAATGACGAACAAGGAACTACATTAGATTTTAAGTAGTTTATTTTATGATTTTTTCATAAACAGCCTTCTTTTTCGAAATCCGGTTCGAAATGTAATAAATAAAACCTTTGATAAGTTACCTCCTTTGGTTGCCATGTTTCAGAGTAAAAGATCGTTTCAGTTTTAAATTACACTACAGGTATGAGTTTACTATGTAATTTATTAGGCCGCTAAACACGACAGGTACGAATTTTCATACAAATTTTGCCGGCTCGCATGTATGTGGCCTGTAAAGCAATTTCGATTTATCTTGAAGAAGGTTGTCAAAATAATGCTTACATTTCCAAGCATGTTTGAGAAATAAATATTACTTTCTAATATAAGAATAATAAGGTTTTTAACGACAACTTATGATTGAAATAATGACAGTCATGAAGCTCTGAAAGATCGCACCCAAACAAAATTATAGTTTTAGAATTTATTTTCTTTATGTTTAGTAGATGACCATAGAGACTGGCCGACCTTTTTCTATATTTTCATATTCTTTACGCGTGTTCCAAATTTGAATGTAGTAAACACGATGACGTGTAGATTCCCGCTTATGCTAAAAGAATCGGATTTTTGTTTTGCAATAAATCGCTGTAACTTAAATAATGGTTACTAGTTTTTTTTAATCAGTGTAACTTCTTACCGTTTAATTGAACGAAAATTGTCATTTATTATAAAAACTGTAAATCCAATCCCATTCCCTTTGTTTGGATTCAGATATATAGCTATAAAAATGCAATAAAAAATATTCAGATATATTGGAGCTCGATGGCGCAGATGGCTAGCGCGTTCGGCTGCGATCGTTGAAGTTAAGCAACTTTCGCAGTGGTCGGTCATTGTATGGGTGACCAAAAATTTTCTATCTCGAGCTCCTTCGTGCTTCGGAAGGCACGAAGCCGTTGGTCCGGCTGCATTTGCAGTCGTTAGCACCCACCAATCCGCACTGGGCACGCGTGGTGGGTCATAGCCCAATCTCCCTATTCCATCTATAGGGAAGGCCTGTGCCCCAGCAGTGGGGGACATTAATAGGCTGATGATGATGATGATATTGCAATATTTCCTGTGCAGGAATATGAAGTGGGAAGGAGGTGTGTTTGAATGGAAAATAAATAAATAAAAAAAAACTGTATCTAAAGGAGTATCCGAAAGAAATTGTTTATAAAATGTGATATGGTATTGTTTTTTTTTATTAATAAAGATAAGTAAGTTTACTCTCTATTAAATGAGATAGGTTCGGAATTATACCATGTGACTGATAGGGATTGCTTTTCTTACAAAATTATTTCCCACAGTATTTTGTTAACAAAACTAGCTTAGCTACTAGACTAGCCTTTGTTAACTATAAATGATAATTATTCTATATCCATAAATAAATTACATCACAATTAAGGAGAGGGGTCAATGAAGTGTGACATTGTATGACAATGGGTGAGCGGAGTGATAATTTTCGTGACGTCACATTCCAAAAACTATATCTAACTCCAGGACCTAAAGACGTCATATTTTAATGCTTTCCGTCCATCTAAAGCCTGGATTCAGAACCTGAGGGTAATTACTACTCCGGGGTTAAATCAGCCATACTTCGGGGGTAACAAAGAACCTAATTATTTGGTCAAATCTAAATAATAAGAAAATACTATATAATATTACTACTAAATGCGCTCCTTCTTGCTAGCGAGCCCGCGGGGTGGTAAGTGTGGGAAGCGGGGCGAGATTTTCTCCTGATGACATTTTATTAGAGACGTGTAAAATGTAGCGGCCAAATTGGAATTTCTTGGACTGATGATATTCAAATTCAAATTCAAATTCAAACTCATTTATTCAGTCTAGGCTGTTACAAGCTCTTGTGAAAGTCAAACGCTACGCCATCGGTTCGTAAATCTACGGCGGGAGACCTTGTACTGAGAAGAACCGGCAAGAAACTCAGCAAGGGCTATTTTTTTCTCCCTGTTTTGTTTCACACAGTGTCGTCAATTGAAAGATGACATCAAAAATTGAATACATGTGTTGATGTCAACTTCCATCACATTAATATTATTAATTAACAAAAGTTAAGTATAACTAGGTACTATTTTTAAATTTAGAAGTGGCGATTAAACAATTTTCAACCAAATTAGCAAAGTAAAAAGACAGTCTATTATGTTAAGCCCAAGGTGACTTATCATTTATGAAATCTTTTACAGTATAGTAACCTTTCTTAAGGAGACATGTTTTTATACACACTTTAAACTTATTAAAAGGTAAATTAATTATTTCTTTTGGTATTTTATTATAGTAACATATACCTTGACCCACAAATGAACCAAGAACCTTTTGGAGTCTCAATGGTGGCAATTTGAGTTTATCTTTATTTCTGGTATTGAAATTATGTACATCATCGCGCCTCGTATATAAATTTATGTTCTGACGCACAAACAATATACAATTGTAAATGTATTGAGAGGCAACAGTCATTATACCTATTTCTTTAAATTTATCCCTAAGAGAAGTTCGAGATCCCAAGCGGTAAATGGCTCTTATAGCTCGTTTTTGAAGAATAAAAACTGTTTCAATGTCTGCGGCCGTGCCCCATAATAGAATGCCATATGACATAATGCTGTGAAAGTAGCTGAAGTATATTGTCCTAGCAGTGTCGACATCTGTAAGCCGTCTTATTTTATAAATTGCATAAGCAGCAGAACTTAGTTTACCGGCTAGTGTTGTAATGTGAGGGTTCCATTGAAGTTTGTGGTCTAGTGTTACGCCTAAGAAAACGGTTGTATCGACTAAAATTAGTTTTTCACCATTTAGAATTATATCCCCCATTTCAACATGCTTTACATTCGGCAAAGTAAATTTCACACATTTAGTTTTGCTCGCATTCAGTTTAAGATTATTAGAAGAGAACCAGTGAAGTACCTTGGAAAGTGCATTGTTTACATCGTCATAATTTGTTTTACACCTGTCAACGTTAAAAATTAGCGAGGTGTCATCTGCAAACAAAACAATTTCACAAAAATTTTCTACAAAGAAAGGTAAATCATTAATGTAAATTAAAAAAAGAAATGGACCTAAAATTGAACCCTGAGGAACGCCTATTTTCACATGAGATCCGGCTGATAACATTTTAAAGTGGGGGTAAAATCTGTTCTGGGCGTACTTGACTCCAATTCGGGCTAACGAAAAAGTGTAATCGCGCCTTAATTGTACCTTTGCACATGAGTAAATCTTTACCCGTGCATGTGGCTTAGTGTTAGAGTTCCGCTGTCATAACTAATTATTAACCTTTTATTTGCTTAAAGGACATCGACGAAATCGGACGACGTTTATATAGGTAATTAATATAGTTAATTGAATAGAAAAAGGACATCGACGAAATCGGCCTCAGAATATCCAAAGGAATGTCCTTCACTATTATTTTTCTATATTTTTTTTATCTTATTAGGAATTAAACATAGTAAACGGACAATTTGTTAAAAAAATAAAAATTAAAGTTCTGTTACTAGATTGTACAGAACTACAATCTGTTCATCCTAACTTGTCCTATTTGGTAAACAATCTTGGCACTCCTTTTTATTGAAAATACGGCATTAAAAATCAACTGACAACTGGATTCAATAGGTTTCAGTCTATAATAACGATTTATTTTAATAGTTTATTGGCTTAATATATAAATAAATAAATTTTATTTTTAATTGGGTGATTTTGTTAATAAGTTTTGTCAAGATTGTTTACCTTTACTTAATGAATGCAATATATGCGATCATAGATATTTATCAACATAAGAATAGAACTGGGTACCTTAGTTAATAATACTTATCACTAGTATTTATATTATATTTATAAAAAGATTATTTCTGAAAAAAGAATATAAAAAGACAGTATAAACTCCCTGCCCATATAATATCTGTTTATTTTTATGAAAATTATAATGATAACCAGGTACATACCTAATTACCGATAATAAAATATAGAAACAGGCAAATGGAAAGACTTTGAACATTTCATTTGAAAAGAAATCTATTAATACAACAGGTAGGTATAGGTATCATAGGTGCCAACTACCAACACTCATAAAACAATATGAATATAAGCATTTATTATTTTTATTATTAATTGCATTTTATATTCATTTAATGCATATTATTTAAGTGCTTACATAGAGGTAAACACCAAATCTCACGAAGTAAGGAAAATCATTAGGAATGTAAAAAATAAAAATAGCTAAGGATTTGCTGAATTGCCGTCCCGCTTAGTCAAGAGTGTGCCGATCAGTTAACTTTGCCATTTACAATGTTGATTAATCAGTCCTTCAAAGAAGGAGTTTTCAAAGAACAATTATCAAGCCTATCCATAAGAAAAATGACAAATCAAATCCTAACAATTACCGTCCCATCGCCTTGTTGTCTACTTCGTCAAAGATATTTGAAAAAGCAATGAATATTCCTGTTATTAAGTTCTGCAAAAAGTTTGAAATCTTCGATTAAAGCCAGAATGGCTTTAGGAAGAAACGGTCTACAGTTTTGGTTGTTTATAAACGTGTTCAGCAAATAATTAAAGTAATATAAGATAAAAAATATGCTATTGGAATTCTATTGGATATGTCGAAAGCATATGATAGTGTTATTCATAAAATACTACTTAATAAATTATACGGAATAGGCATTCGCGGAACAGTGCACAATTTGTTTAAAAGTTATTTGCAAAACCATCAGCAATTTGTTGAAATAGAATATTTTGATCATATACACAAAGAAATAATAAAGGTTCTCTCTGTAAGTAAAACTATAAACGCTTCCATTCCTCAGGTAAGCGTCATCGGAAGACTTCTTTTTCTAATTTATATCAATGACCTCCCTAAAATAATAGAGGATACGTGTGTCCCCTTTACGGACGATATTTCTCTTCTCACATCTTGTAAAAACAACAACAACTTACAAACCAAATTAAATTTAATGATGACCCAGACTTTTAACTGGTTAAACAAACGTAACCTTAGAATAAACTTTGATAAAACTAAATCAATAACCTTTCACCCGCGTCAAAAATTACCACTAAAATTCTGCTACAGTTTTAAACAAAGATATCGAATGTGTTACTGATTTTTCATTACTGGGTATAACTATAGACACTAACTAAAAATTGGAAATCTCACATCCAGATGTTAAAAAATAAATTATCTAGCTTTACATATGCACTTCGAGAGGTCAAAAAAAACACAGATCTAAAGACTGCTCTTATCACATATTATGCCTATGCCAATGCCTGATTTACTTATGGAATCATCTTGAACAGTACGGACTTATCCTCTTTAGTTATACTACAAAAGAAACTTATTCGTATTATTGTTAATATAAACTCAACTGAAAGTTGTAAACCTTACTTCCAAAAATATGAAATTTATTTCTTTACCAAGCATTTATATATTTGAGTTTTGTAAATTTGTAAAAAAACACTCAATTTTTTCAAGAAGAGAAAACATTCCTTCAAAATATACATCGAGACACAAGAAAAACATAATGGTTCCAATTGCTCGCCTTAAATTATGCTCATCGAGCACTTATAATATGTCTGTAACAATCTATAAAAAAATTACCTGAAATTTTTAAAAATGAAGAAAATAACAATGTATTTATTAAAAAAATAAGTTAATGTTATTGAATAAATACCTAAATGATAAAACTACTATGGAATAAATATAATAAATACTATAATATTTTTATTATAAAAAGATACAATTACAATAATTATATAAATAAATAATCGTACATAAATCTCATTATACAATATCTTATTGGAGAAGTATGAATAGATAATTTTTATGGGTTTATATTCATTGGATATAAAATATTATAAAGGGTCCATACTTTTTATCTGTTAATATTACCACCTTTGTATCTCCATTATGGTCTGCAATAAATAAATTGATTTGAATCTATTCAGAATATATAAAGTGTACATCTTTTATGATTAAGAATAATAATTATAACCTCAAAATCTAATACATTCTGTAGTAGGCCACGGTTCCTCAAAATGTCCGTATCTGAACAAATACATAATTAGAGTTTATGAATGATTTCGAACTCAACTAACATTTTCCCATTGCTGTGCGTTGTAGGGCATTCAATGTATAGGGAACGAGCAATGTCCTTTATTTTTGTAAATTTAATATAGATTTAATATTTATTATGTGTAGGTATGTAAGCTTACTCAGTCGATTACATTTTTTCTTTACAGGTCACGGGAAGGCATCAATATGGTATGGAGTTTATTTTTTAAACTTAAGGAACTCGTGTGTCATAAAGCAATAAGTTAAAAATATATTTGCACTCGTTGTCGTAGATAGTTTGAAAAAAAGATTAAATAACTAAATTTACTAAGCACGCAGTTAATATAATTCGTCAGACACCAGTTGCTGGTATGCACGTATTAATATGAAAAGCTCCAAATTGAAGTTTATTTTGGAGTTCATTACATAGATTTCCATTTTTACGAGGCGCAGCAAATTCCACCAACCTCATCTGACGATAAGTGTAAGTGGAGTCCAGTCGCGAAGGTAGATGATGCGGCGGAAACTGTCCCAATCCCCTACCTCGAGGAGCCCTGAAACCTTACTCACCAGCAGACACAACATCACCAAAAGGTATTTATTTTGGTGTGGTCTATAAAGTGGAGGTGGTTTCTCCACTCAACTCTCCATGCAAACCAATACTGCAGGTGCCGCTGAAGTCAGCAGTTGCAGTTGGCAAAATGATTTGAAATAGTTATCATTTTTATTTTTTAAGCATGTAACTGCTTGATGTTTAAATCTAAAGAAAATATAACTAGAAAAAATAAATAAAATAAAGCTTTGCAGCTTAACAATGGCTAGAAGAATTTCGATGCATAATTGGTCAGTGCATTCGCCCGGATAGCGTAGGGTGCGGGTTCGAATCCCGTCTGCTGCCTGGTCCGCGTGGATATTTTTTAGTTATATTTTATTGATTTGAAATAGTTCTTAGGTGCAAATATCATCATGAATAGGCAGACTTTCACGATAAATACAGCATTACAATATCATGTTATAGAATCTAATCTAATTAGAGCCGAGGTCCGAGTCTCAGAGACGCTCACTATTTGAGCCGATACCTCAGGTTCGAGTGGTCTAGAGGCTCCAGATGGAGAGGAGACTCCCCCCGTAGGGAGATGCCATCCACCTGGAATACCTGTAGAGGCACTCGCGAATTCTCGGCTTGAGGTCCCAGGATCTCGCCGTCCCCAAACCCGGTGACGATGTAAAGATCATCTGCGACCAACAACATACACACTCAAATAAAAGAGCAAAACCACAGAGAAATAAATTTGCGCAAAAGACGATTTTGTATTCAAGATTGCTTCTGGGCAAGCTTCTTCGTCAATGTTTAAGAAGTTTTCTGGAGTATGTCAGTATAGCTTTGGCTGTTTGCTTAATATTTTGGATTAAACAGATGATACAATAAATATCTACACTATTACGTGAAAAATGGTTTCTATTTACACTCATTAAAATCATAATTATTATTTACGGAAATCTCCCTCGATGAACGACAATGGATCTACTGAGAGAAAACCTTCCTATATATAGATCCATAGCTAATATATATAGATCTAGCCAATGGGTCTGCAGTAGATCTAATGGCCAGATCAGCATCCATCTAACTGAAAATTATCGATGCGTTACATAGAAAAAAAAGAAAATGTTTTATTAATAGTTAATAAAAAAATTATGATGGTCCGAAATAAATGTCTTCGTTATTATTGATTAATAACAAAAATCTATTAAATCTATTCGCAATGTAACCGAAAACGTTCTTCGGTATGACTAGAATTACCTAGTCATATGTATAGCTATAGCTGTTATAGTCTAGTCTTTAAGAAAACATTTTATTTATGAAATATATAAGTATCTATTTAAAGAGAATCATCAAATAAGTAATGGAAATTTACGCCCAGTTTATAAAAAAAGGTCCATAGGCCTGCTACAAAATTGTCTTCAGCAACTAAAATCATTTTTATTATGTGCATTAAAATTTACAATAAATTACCAGACAAGTACAAAGAACTAAAAGATTTTAAATAAAAAAAAATACTTAAGGATTGGCTTAGCCAAAAATGTTTTTATAGTATCCAAAAGTATTTAGAATATAAGTAGCAATATTCAAATGGTTCTTAAACGTACAATATAAATGGGTATACACTTGAAAAAGTAGGATCAAATGGCACTGTACATTAGCATTAAGACCTGTATTTTCATGTCACCTTGTTCCATACACAATAAAGATTATTATTATTATTTATTTATATAAATATATAAATCTTGGAAACTATTATTTGCCGAAGATTTTTATTGACAATATTCTGTTGCAGTACGGGTTCGTGAACTATGCTTTGGAGTTACTTGTGATGCAAACCTTTGGTGAAGAAACATGGGAGACTATAAAGTAAGCTAAAATTAAATGTATATAAATCATATGAACATTTGTAAGTATAATGTGATTCAACTAAGAATGGGACCGACTGGGCGGAATATTGTGATATCATAGCTGTCAATTCAAACCAAATAGGAAGAGTGAGCAAAAAAAGATTTTATTTAATAAAACTTCTTTACTAAGATTAAGTGAGAAAAACCACCGATTTTTAATAATATTTATTTATTAAAGCTGTGAGAAGAAACATTAATCAGAATCTAGCTCTTTTATTCCGCTCATCTCTGCATTACCGCTGGAGTAGTAACGAATAATCATGCGCTATTACTAGGTCACATATGAACCTGCATCCTTTATGGAAACGAAAGTTTGAAATCGAGTTTCTGAACACAACTTAAAGTGACATTTGGTATCAACCATTCATGGCCAAAGCAGGGCCAAAGGCCAAAAAAAATATCAACCTATATTAATTATCAATATTTGTTATTGTTTGTTTACAAATGTTTGGTTTTTATTCTTGAATTAGCGGAGTACTAAAAAAGGGTTCCAAGTTTTTTTTTTGCAAACCGTACTTTTCAAGCGACATTTGACAGATAGAGGTCATTGGCTTTCCTATTCTTATTTGAATCGCATTATATTACTACTAGCGTGTATTCTTTGTGAGTTAAGATTATTATAGTATTTGTTTAATATAGTATTTACTTATCGTAACAACGATATAATAAAACGAAGACTCGCAAAGCTCGACACAAATTGTTTTGAGTACACCACATTACAGCACATAACAGAAGACCAAGCGTGAAGAAAGAGTCTGTGCGGAAAGAGAATGGGATTTAGATTGGAAGGCGCTGTAATGCTTTTCTACCGTATTTGTAAGGTTTTACCCCTTTTAGACATGATTAAATACAAAAAACCGCAAGAAATCACAACAACAAACAAATACGTATCAATACAAAAGTTTGACGTTTTACAGATTGCTGGGTTTGATTGCCAAATAAAAATCTTAATGTTAGTTCCGTTTTTTGCCACACCCATTCTCTTTCCGGACTTTCTCTTGGTAGTGCTGGTGTAACTTAGATGCACTCCATCCATCCTTACATCATCATCGTCAGCCTATTAATGTCCCCGTTGCTGGGGCACAGGCCTTCCTTATGGATGGAATAGGGAAATTGGGCCATGACCCACCACGCGGGCCCAGTGCGGATTGGTGGGTGTTAACGACTGCAGATGCAATCAGAACCAACGCCTTAACGTGCCTTCCGAAGCACGGAGGAGCTCGAGTTTGTAAATTTTTGATCACCGACCACAGCGAAAGTTGCTTAACTTCAACGATCGCAGCCGAAAGCGCTTACCACTTGCGCCATCGAGCTCCTTATATTCACACCTTTTTTATGTTGAAAGAGTGGCAAACAGTGTATGGTAAGCTGCCACCATAGTATGAGCCTATAGACGCTTGCGATACCATAATGGACCACCTCCGTGGCCGAGTGGTATGTTGTACGCTGGTTTTCAAGGTGTTGCCTATTCGAGAGGTCCCGGTTTCAAATCCCGGTCAAGACAGATGTTTGTGTGATGAATACACGAGCATTTGTACTCCAATCATGGATGTTCAATATGCATTTCTATATAAATACTAGCGGACCCGACAGACGTTGTCCTGTCTACACGTCTTTGTGAATCTAAACCATTCTCAGATCCCCTTGAACACACACAAAAAATTTCATCAAAATCGGTCCAGTCGTTTAAGAGAAGTTCAGTGACATACACACTCACAGAAGAATTATATATATAAAGATACTGATATATGTATCATTATGTGTATTCTATCCGTTACCCTAGTATCCCATAACACAAGCCTACAGTGCTTACTTTGGGGCTGGGCTAATGGTGTGTGTTAGATTTTTTTTTATATTTTATATGATAAGGAGCTCTATGGCGTAAGTGCTTAGCGCATCTGGCTGCGATCGTTGAAGTTAAGTAACTTTCGCAGTGGTCGGTCTTTGGATGGGTGACCACAAATATACTATCTTAAGCTCCTCCGTGCTTTGAAAGGCACGTTAAGCCATTGTTCCCGGCTGCATCTGCAGTCGTTAGTACCTACTAATCCGCACTTGGCCCGCGTGGTGGTTCATGGCCCAATCTCCCTATTCCATCCATGAGAATGGCCTGTGCCCCAGCAGTGGGGATGTTAATAAACTGGTGATGTGATATGATCAAATCAGTGTCTTTAGAACGGTATTTTTTTTTTCAGGAAGAAGGCCGAAGTTTCTATGGAAGGCTCGTTTCTAGTGAGGCAGATTTATGAAGATGAGATAACTTACAATCTTATAACAGCAGCTGTGGAAGTACTGCGTAGGTATAGTTTTATCAAAAAATATTGAGAAACCTTTCAACGCAATAATTAGAGTATTAGTACTTAAATATTTATAAGCTTTGCATCTTGTCATGATAATAATAAAGAAATATTTTACTAGAAAAAATCCATGCGGTCCGTGCAGCAGACGTGATTTGAAACGCCATCTTCCGCTATCCGGGTGCACGCACTAATCGATTATGCTACCGCGACCTTAATGGCCGTATCAAATTTCTTCTATTATTTCTTAGGCTGCAAAACAGCGCCATTCCTTCGCATTGTAAATACCCCACAATACAAAGTGTCTGGTTATATTACAGATAAAAATGCTTGGGTTTGAACTGTTCAAATCATTCCAACAGGTTTTCTATCTATACTTATAATAAATCTGTAGAGATGTCAATTCTGTACATGAAATATATTTTTAAAATAACTATCAGGGGGTGATTAGTGATCGATACTGATGCCAAAAATGCAATCAGTAAATTTTTTGTCTGTCTGTCTGTCTGTGTGTATGTTCCTTATAGAAAGAAAAACTACTCGACGGATTTTAACGAAACTTGGTACAATTATTCTTCATACTCCTGGGCAGGTTATAGTATACTTTTCATCACGCTACAATCAGTAGGAGCAGAGTAGTGAAGGGAAATGTTGGGAAAACGGGAGAAGTTACTCCATTTTTTAAGCTTCCGTCGCGTGTGCAGCCTTAATGATTAAAGTTACATAGAAATCATGTATGACGGAAATATTCTACATAAAATTGTTTAAAAAATATCGCGCAACAGCATATGTCTATCTTTTATGGTTGACTCACAATAACACGTGTAACTCCCGATAGCTTAGCAGTTCGGAGCATTCTGATCATATTTGTTTACTCTTACGTTTATAATACTCGGTATAGAAACACCAAACTTATACATGAAATAAGCCATCGCGCCGTCGCACGTGAATACTGAATCATGCTATAAGGATTATTTTTGTGTAACGGTTGCCGCGCTCGACACGGGTCGCGGCAGCGGTAGGGTATCACAGGTCCGAGAGCGAGCTGTCTAAATCTGTTTTCTGCGTCGCTCCCCCCCTGGGGGACGATCGCTTCCGATGAAGCCTTAGAGGCCTTCCCGGCCAGAGGCAGCCCCTACGGGTGTTTTTTAGTCAGTACGAGTCTGACATAACCTTGCAGCCGGCTGTAGGGTATCCATGAGGATTTCTCATCTGCTCCCCCGCCTGGGAGACCGAAACCGTGCTTATCAGCGCGACTTTTAGTCTTTAAATAGTTTATTTGAATTTCTTTTGTTGTTATTTTGTAAAACAGGTATTAGTTGTTTTGGTAGTGTTTAAATATTCGTTCAAATTAAAAATTATTAAGCGTAGGTACTTTTATTAATTAAAGTAGTTATAAGTATTTATTTTTAAGTGAAGGAGGTATAGGTAGATAGTATTGCACAGGCGTTTCAGCTTTATTTTCATTTCTTTTTTGTTGTGAGTTGTATATGTTTCTGGTTATAATTCTATAAGAATATTTTAGTTCAAATAGTCACTTAGATTTTATGTGTAAGGTAGCTAAAGTTAGGACCACGTATTAGTTGTTTTGGTAGTGTTTAAATATTCGTTCAAAGTGTAATTTAATCATATAGGATGAATGTACGATGACCCATCGAAAAGGAGTAGAAGCGGTAGACAGAACTTTAAGAGATATAAGACAAAATGATCGACCCATGGGCGGTATCACAGTTTTATTTTGTGGTGATTTCCGACAAACCTTAACGGTAATACCACGGGGAACCCGAGCTGCTGAGGTTAGGGCTTGCCTGAAAAGCTCTTATTTGTGGCGTGATATACAATCGGTGTAGATAGAGAACTGTAGATAACCCGGGTGATCGTGAATTTTTTGATATATTATTAAAGAAAATACCTTCACCAAAGATACCTATCCACTGCTACACCAAGGAAAACTTATTCTGACGCCTGAGTTATGTTGTATAGTGCAATCCCAACAACATCTTACATCGTCAGTTTACGGTGACGTAACAAATATATTAAATAAGAACAATTCTTGGCTATGCGAAAGGTCCATTTTAACTCCTCGCAATGACCAGGCATCTGAGATTAATAATAAAATACTGTCGAATATCCAGGGGGAAAGCAAAGTTTATAGTTCAATAAATAGAATGGCCGATGAACAAGAAACCACGAATTACCCGATAGAATTTTTAAATTCTTTAAATATGCCCGTACTTCCTTCTCATGAAATTTGTTTAAAAATTGGCATTCCGATTATTCTGCTCCGAAATTTAAGACCACCACAAATTTGCAATGGAACTCGGCTTAAAGTAACCCAGTTGCAACAAAATGTAATCGAGGCTCAAATTTTAATAGGTTGCGGTGCAGGAGAAACCATCTTTATTCCCAGAATTCCCATAATACCAAATAATTTTCCATTCCAATTTAAAAGAACGCAATTCCCAGTATCGGTGTGTTATGCAATGACAATAAATAAAACTCAAGGGCAGACCTTTCGTGTTGTTGGAGTAGATCTCGGTGTCAGTTGTTTTTCACATGGTCAGTTATGTCGGTCTTTCCCGGGTTAGCAGTCCTAGAATTTTTTATGTTCACGTTCCGGACGGGTCAAATTTCAACGTAGTCTACCCGGAAGCTTTGCGCTGAAGTATTTTCATTCTATATGTACTTAAGACTCATGTGAAAGCGATCTAAACAATATTACCAATACATTAACATAATAACATACAAGGAGTTACACGCTGATGGTCTCGGGGCACAGTGATAATAATAATATTCTGCGGTTCCTTATTGCGATATTTTTAACAGTATTATATTTCCCTATTAAAATACGAAAGTCTGTCTGTCACATCAAAACCACGGAACCCTGAGGAAGGACATATGCTACTTTTTTACGAAAAACGACGATAACGCGGACGAAGTCGCGGGCAAAAGCTAGTATTAAATAAATCATGATTGCATTGACGTTGTAACAACATAATGATTTGTAAAATTTGTTACATTAAACTTTTAATGTTGCGGCGTTTTTTTTGCGCGTTTTTCTCCGCAGCAAAAAAAGAAGAAGACAACAATTAAAAAGAGTTGTACTATACATTTAATTTGAAATATAAAAGATATATTGATTTCTGATTTCTGTCAAACGTAATACTTTTATTCTAAGGATACGATGAATGAGAATAAAGGTGCAATTTGTGTAAGAATATATGTATTATGATTCAAGCTGATGTAACATTCTTAATCTAATTCTTTGCCTATACGCGTATTACAGAAATCCCAGCTGATTCGATCTTGGAACTTTTCGGAAAAACCTTCTTCGAGTTTTGCCAAGATTCTGGCTATGACAAGATCTTGCAAGTATTAGGTGCCACGCCGCGTGATTTCTTACAGGTTATTATGCCATTTTATTTGTTTCCTTGTCTTATTCTGTTTTAAAAACTATACTTATTATAATGGTATTACAATATCGCTGGAATTTCATTGTACGTAGCAAAGTTATGTTGACGACCTCCGTGGCCGAGTTGTTTGTACGCCAAGTTTCAGGGTGTCGCCTAATCGAGAGGTCCCAGGTCCGAATCCCGGTGGGGGTAGATGTTTATGTGATAATTACGAATATTTGTACTCCAGTCATGGATGTTTATATGTATTTCATACATACAAGTATATAAATATACTTATACATGTATTGCTACATGTATTCTATCCGTTACCCTAGTATCCCATAACATAAGCCTACAGTGCTTACTTTAGGGCTAGGCTAATCAGTGTGAGTGTTGCCAATATTGATTTATTTATTATACTTAGATTTCAGGAGACCTATGCTATGATATTGTTAAGTAATTTGTGTCCGATATGACAGCTTTGGGAAAGCCTGATTTAGAGCTCAGAAATTAATAAATAAAAATGACATTAAAAGCATTATAAAAAGTTAAAAATTCAATATTTGTATTATTACTTCACAAAAATATAAAATCAAAATCCACACTCCAAATTGGTACTTAATAATGATGATAAAAGATTAACGTTTTTGCATATTATTATGATATCACATTCTGATTTCAGAATCTAGACGGCTTGCATGACCACCTCGGTACCTTGTACCCGGGCATGCGCTCTCCTTCCTTCCGTTGTACCGAAAGACCGGAAGATGGCGCTTTGGTTTTACACTACTATTCTGATAGACCAGGTTTGGAGCATATCGTCATTGGGATAGTGAAGGTTAGTGAATATTTCTATAGCCATAGTTAAATGTATTTTTTAACCTCATCAGCCTATTTACCTACTGACCTCATTCACATTCATTACCTTTGGATGGAATATTGAGATTGGATCATGATCCACCACGCAGGCTTAGTGTGGATTGATGGTTGCTAAAGACTGCAGCTGCAGCTGGGACCAACGGCTTGAAATGCCTTCCTAAGCTTGGAGGAGCTTAAGGCAGTAAATATTTGGTTACCAATCCAACCAAGACGCCAACCACTTAATCTGGTGCTATCAAGGTCCTGCTGATTGTCACTTACATGATTATTTGTTAGAGTATCTTTGTCCTTCCCTTGTACCGAAAGATCAGAAGATGGTGTTCTGGTTCATTTATTTATATTAAACCACTTTAAATTGTTACATTATTCTATAAGAATCTTCATATAGATTAAGTAGAATTTGGTACAACGATCTTTCTGAAGATCCTTCGTAAAGATGAATCTTTAGTTAATCTGTAACATTTGAAAGCAAATAATTTCCTAATTCCCCGCCGACGAAGCCTCAGGCAAAAGCTGGTTTCACGTAAAATACATATATAGGTGGAATCTAAACTCCTGGTAAGCTTTAAAATGTTATCCGAGTACATTTTAAAGCTTACCAGGAGTTTAGATTAGATTTCGCACGATAACGTCTTTGTGGTTTTTTACTTGCACCAATATTCGTTATTTAAAAGGCAAAATTGCTGTTATACACATTACTCCATCTTTGTCACTCTATGTTTAAAGTCACATAAGGCTAGAATGAGGCTTAAATATGATAAGCAATAAAATTTGGTTTTAGATTTGTGGTGCAACCTGCACAAATCTAAAACCAAATTTTATAAGAATATAATTCTTGAATCAATTCGTCAACTAATTAAAAATTCCATTGCTTTTCAGCTAAATTCAAATTGTTGCTTCTTGTCTTCATAATAAATCTTCTAATGTATTGCTGAGGAAAGTAAAACAATAGCTTTGAGAAATAGAGTAGTACGGATATAAAAAAATAGTTAATTTTATTTTTTAAAACATTAAACTGCTACATGTCCAGGCCCGTCTCCTCTACTGCCTGGTCCGAGTGTTTTTTTTCTAGTAAAATTTTCTTTATTTTTGTACATGTAGCAGTTAAATGCTTCAAAAATAAAAATATAACTGGAATTGCTATTTCTTCATTCAAATGTTTAATACTTGTAAGGATTTTCGTTTGACATTGTGGGCTACCTACAATGCCAAGTGATGGCGCTGCCTTGCAGCCTAAGAAATACTAGAAAGAATTCGACACGGCCATTAGGGCCGTGGTAAGATAATGATCACTGCATCCGCCCGGAGGGTGCGGGTTCGAGTCACGTCTGCTGCGTGGTCCGCGTGAATATTTTTCTAGTAAAATTTTCTTAAGATATTTTTCTTTATTTTTTATAATATTCCAGACTGTTGCCAGTAAGCTTCATAACACCGAAGTTAAAGTGGAGATTATGAAGACCAAAGAGGAATGCGATCACGTCCAGTTTCTAATCACGGAAACTTCGACCTCTGGCCGAGTGTCTGCGCCGGAGATAGCTGAAATTGAAACTTTATCACTTGGTAAGAAGGGTTTATTATGTATTGCACCGATTTTTTCTTCATCGTGGAAGTATCAATTTGAATTCAATTTATCTAGAGAAGCCACAATGCTAATTTCACTTCAATTAAAACATAACTTAGTATTATTTTTATCGATTGATCGACTTTAAAATGTGAGGATCAAGATTTTTTTAGCACGGTGTCGGTGTGTATTACACTCCTGTCTCCAAGACATCAGATGTAATGATGAATACGAGCCTTTGCATTTGCGTTATGGCTATACTATTTTCCCCAACGGGATTCGAAGCCGGGAAGCAGCCTCTTGAGAAAGCGACTCCTTGAAACTCGGCTTACATACCACTCGGCTATGAAGGTCGTCGATTATTATGCATATTTGATTATTATATGACAACCATTTTAGATTTGTTTTACAACGGAATTTGAAAAGTTTTCGAAGCGCAAAGCATTTTACTAAAATAATCAAATTTAATGTACGCGCTTCCTAATACGTCACAGTGTTTTTTCCACACTTACAGCGCTTTACAATCCGAAAATTCAATTAACTTTGAAATCTGATTAGATAGATTGCTAAAGCAAGTCATACACGCTAGGGTTTACCTGTACAGTTTAACTGTACAGGTAAACCGGAGCGTGTATGACCCACAACTGCGCAGGTTTCCACGCCTGTACAGGCAACTCGAAAACATGAATTTTGATATTTTCTACCTGTGCAGTTTAACTGTGCAGGTAAAACTGAGCGTATGTGGCAGTCGTCTGCGCAGGCGTCAGTTGTCCGATGATTGTTAGAGCGATCAGGGTCATGGTTTCAACTGAAAGTTTGTGCAGGTTTACCACTACGTGTATGGTCTCTACCAAGCTCAAGTTTACCTGTGCAGTTGAACTGTATAGGTAAACCTCTCAGGTTCAGGTCTTTGCTTTAACAATAGAGTAAGCAAACCCGTGATGTTAAATGATATTGAATTTATTTGAGTCTCTGAGTATAGCCGTTAAAAGAGCCTGAAGGCTAAGGTAAAGTCGGCACTTTGATATATCGGTGAGCTCCACTTCAAGTTGTAGGCGATGTATTTTTATGTTTTCCACAGAACCAAAAGTGAGTCCAGCCACCTTTTGCCGCGTGTTCCCGTTCCACCTGATGTTCGACCGCGAGCTGAACATCGTGCAAGCGGGACGAACTGTCTCTCGTCTCTTGCCGCGCGTCACCAGGCCCGGGTGCAAGATCACCGATGTCTTGGACACCGTGAGTGTTTGTTTGTTACTTAAAAAATTATCTGTATTCTATTAGCTTTGATGTTCTTTCACATAGACTTTTTGACAACCTTTACTATAACCAAGATAACAATATGTCTAGTCTCTTGCCGCGCGTCACCAGGTCCGGGTGCCATAGCGCCGATGAATTGAACACCGTTAGCGTTTCTTTGTTACTAATACATAATTTATATATCTTCTATTAGCTTTGATGTTCTTCCACATAGACTTGACAATCTTCCTTCATCCATCAGCCTATTAATGTCCCCACTGCTTGGGCACAGGTTTACCCTATGAATGGAATAAGGATATATGGCAATGGCGGATTGATGGGTGCTAACGACTGTAAATGCATACTAAGAAAAATTTCACCCATCCATTTACCGACCATTGCGAAAGTTGCTTACCTTTCACGATCACAAATCGAACGCGCTAACCACTTATTCTATCATGCTCCCCAAGACTTTTTTCACACAAATGAAATTTGCTATGATTGAGTTTACAATAAGTCTGTTGAAATAGATCGTCTTTTTGCTTGGAGTGGCCAGGCCTGGATCCAAGTTCATCGATGAACTGGAAACCCTGAACGTTTGTTCGTTGCTAATAATCCTTTACTTTCCATACTCCTGGTCTTCTTTCATATTGAAAGAGGAATTATAATAAGTCTAAAAATGAGTGGTATTGTTTCACACTAAGTCCCATTTGCACCTAAATTTCTCAAAAAAAGCTAAACATGTTAAAGCCTTACACTATCTCTTTTTGACTTTTAACAATAGGGGTGACGACGGGGTAAAGTAAACGAAATTCATTCTATTTAGTCCGTCAGTTAGATGATCAAAAATTAATGGACACGTATTTTTTATTTGGGCAATCAAACAAAAAATGACGTGTCCAATACTTTTTGATAATCTACCAGATCAACGAAGAAAAAAAATAGTTGTCATTCCTATTGAAGATGGTATGATTAAGTATATTATTAAACAGGATAAAGCCTTAATTTGATTAAAGAATGTTTGTGCAAATGGCCTTTAGTTTTTGAGCACACTAATTGGAATTTAATGAAGGCTTCTGTATTTCTAAAACAATTTGATAATGTTGAGTTACATTTATAAAATTAAAAACTTGAAATAATTGATAGTGTCCCATTCTTTCAGGTTCGTCCACATTTGGAGATGACTTTTGAAAATGTGTTGGCTCATATCAACACTGTTTACGTGCTGAAGACCAAACCCGAAGAAATGACTGTCACAGAACCTCACGAGGGAATTGCTTCACTTCGGCTGAAGGTATGATTTATTACATCTGACGACCGCACTCAGAAAAGTCCATTTACTTTTAAGTTTCACAAAATTTGATGCTGTCACTTTATTTACGATAAAAGTGAAGTGAGACAGTAAGTGACTTAATGACGCATGAAATTAGTTCGATGATTCTGAGTACGTCTGTTAGTGAATAATTGAATTAAATTTTGTATATAAGGGATATACAAATTTTAATTCAATTGACAATGGATGAATAGAATATGAAGAAATCAGCTGAAAGATATATCGGTTTTTAATTTCAGGGTCAAATGTTGTACATACCCGAAAGTGACGTAGTTGTATTCCAATGTTATCCAAGCGTGACAAACTTAGATGATCTTACACGGTAAGTGATAACTTATCAACTTAATGGGATCTTAATTCTAATGTAGCGTCATATCAACGCCAGATTTAAAGAAAAATCATATCTTAATTTTGTATCTGAGAAATTTTCTTAAATTTCGACATGCATCTTTATGAGATTGATTATCAAAATAGACGCAATCACAGAATTTATTTTTATTAAGTTACCCAAAACCATCACAATCCATTTATTTTAGCTTTATATTGCTTGCCATATGATTCACAATCTATCAAGAAAATGTGACTATTCGTGGTAACTTGATTTGTGGCCTATTGTTAATTCATAATTTTTGAAACATTTTCACCATTACCTTAAATAAGAAAAAGAAAAATTAGTTTTTTTTTAATTTACTGCTGTCAGTGCCCATCCGATCCAATGAAACTTTAAATAATTGCCTATTTTCAGTCGTGGTCTCTGCATTTCTGATATACCATTGCATGACGCTACCCGCGATTTGGTGCTCATGTCAGAACAATTCGAAGCTGATTACAAATTGACGCAAAACCTGGAAGTTCTCACTGATAAGTTGCAGCAGACTTTCCGCGAGTTGGATTCTGAGAAACAAAAGACAGACAGGTAAATACTCTCGTATTTCTTACTTATGTCTGCTGCCTGATCCGCATGGATTTTTTTCAAGTAGAAATTTTCTTTAGATTTAAATATCTAGCAGTTAAATGCTTCAAAAAAAAAGTATAACTACAATTGCTATTTCTTCTTTCAAACGTTTATTACTTGTAAAGGTAATCGTTTGACATTGTGGGTTACCTTCAATGCGAAGAGATGGCACTGGCTTGTGCCATCTTCAACTTCTCTTTTCTTCGGCGTCACTTGCCCTAACTTCGCAGTCGCCATTAAGTTCCGCAAACTACCCCTTATATTTGTGACATACATACCATGCCGCTGGGGCTCTTTCATTTCGATCAACCAAGACAACCTCCGTGGTGGAGTGGTTTGTACGCCGGATTTCAAGGTGTCGCTACTCGAGAGGTTCCAGGTTCGATTCCCGGTGGGGGCAGACGTTTGTGTAATGAATACGAGCATTTGTACTCCAGTCATAGATGTTTAATATATACCTGTGTATTTCTATGTATATTTGCATCAGTATATGTATTCTCTTCGTTACCTTAGTATCCCTTAACACAAGCCCACAGTGCTTACTTTGGGGCTAGGCTAATTGGTGCGAGTGTTGAAAATATTTATTATTTATTTAACCTTCTTATCTATTACTTTTTTTATTTTTGTCATTTTTTCGCGCGAGTTTTGAATACAATTTTCTTTGCCATAAAAGTTTTCATCACTCTTTTACCGAACCAAAGACATATATTTATATACCCATTATGTAAAACCTGAATATTCCTATTGTGAAAGTATTTGTATTATTTCCGAAAATCATTGTTGAAACTACTGTTCACTGCTCGACGCCGATCGCGCTTATATACGCCAATCGACGCATTCCAGAAAAGTCCAGTGCAATTAGAGGATTCGATCGCGGGATATTTTAGTCCCGAAATTTTCGAGATTAAATGTAATGAATGCCGGGGTTTTCGGGATTGATATATTTTTTTATATAGGTTAATAAAAATGTGCATGAAACAAAACGCGCTTACTTTCATTTGACGTTTTGACGGCTAACTTTTTTACACAGCTGACTTCATTTAGTTTTGTTAAGACCGGTACCGGTTTCTTTGTAAAAGTGTGTAAAAATTCCTCTTCACGTCGTGTAAGTATTAATATTTTTTTTTATAATTGGTGATAATCAATGAGTTTATTAAAAAACAATCAATGCATTAATGTGTCTGAGTAAATATAGATGACAAACAACGAGTGTTATTTTCTGTAGCTCCAAGAGGTTATGTTTATGTTGTGCATACTTTTAAATGTTCTTTTCATTTTTTTTTAGGTTTAAGAACTAAACAATGCCATTATCTAAAGAAAGTTTTGATGTCAAGCATAAAAAAGATGAAGATTTTTCGTCAGTCTGGATGTGGAGTAACTTTTTAGCCGATAAAGTGGGTAGCTAAGCACAATGTAAGCGTTACTTAGCTATTTTAAAGAACTTAGAAGGATCAACCAAAGGCCTACATACTCATCTTCAAAACATTCCGTGAAAGTAGATTCTGCTAAAGCATCTTCCTCAACGGGCCAAAATAATGAAGGACCACCTATAGTTTTTTTACAATATATCTATACAAGTCTTAACGAGTTTATTTTTTAAGTTTTTTGTAAAATAGTATAAATAAACTAGGTAATTCTGTAAATAATTTATGAAACTATTTCATAAATTATTTATAGAAGTGTCTAGTTCGTTTATTTTATCAGAGGAAAGTAATTTTGTTTTGTTTTTTAAAGATTCAAAATATAAAGTTGATTTTAATATAGTTTACTGTCTTTTTTTAACCACTTTCTATTACCAGTACAATCCCGGAACTATCCCAGGATCCCGGGATTAACTGTACATAATCCCAAAATCCCGGGATTAGAAAAATCGACCAGGATTGAATACTCTAAGTGCAATTGATCGTTGACTCGTACCACCACAGCACCAGCACCACCTCAAATGACAATATTTCAATCTGCAGATTGCTTTACTCAGTCCTGCCAATAAGCGTTGCCACTGAACTACGTCACCGTCGTCCTGTACAAGCTCGTCGATATGATCCGGTCACCTTACTCTTCAGTGGTATAGTAGGATTCGCCAATTACTGTGCTCGGAATACAGACCATAAAGGAGCCATGAAGATCGTCAGGATGCTCAACGACCTTTACACGGCCTTCGATGTCCTTACTGACCCTAAGAGAAATCCGAATGTGTACAAGGTATGTACCAATCCGTATGAATAGTAATTTATCAGTAATGACATTTATAATCCTAGTGTAGGATAAAGTAAATATTTCTTAAACTGAACTAGAAACTTTTTTTTAAAACCTGAAAAGAGGTTTAATTAGTTTTAACATCTAAGTTGTTCAAGTGGTGAAAATATTTAACTTTTTTTTAAATGATTGGCGTTCTTTTGTGCCCCAAGGGCATTTTAATCCCTTTGGTCTCTGCTGCATTGATAATCCCACCAAACAGCCTTGTATATTTTTTTCTATCCATAGGATAGGCCTGTAAACCAGTAGTGTTACGATGATCGCTAAACATGGAATTTATTGTACCGTTCTTCAGGTAGAGACTGTTGGCGACAAATATATGGCAGTATCAGGTCTTCCTGAGTACGAAGTGGCTCATGCAAAACACATCTCTTTGCTGGCGTTAGAAATGTTGGACTTATCGCAAACTGTGACGGTGGACGGGGAACCAGTTGTAAGGAAATAATTTATTAACTTAGTACAACAAATTTTGTTCAGTAGTCTTAGCACGAACCAGTTTCGAATTCGTTACTTTTGCAATAGTCAATGAAGGTTTTCACCTCCGATTTCGTTGAATCTCCATCGATTTTCATGAAAATTGGTGAGTAGGTGGGGGATGTCTTAAGAAACAAAAGTGACATATTGCCAACTTGCGCTTTTGCCCTGGGGGTAGATGACACCCCCCAGATGATCAACGAAATCGGAGGTTGTAGCTGATTTTTGCCTTCATTGACTGGACTACAAATGGAAAATGTCATTGTCATCGAAATCCATGGTTGAAACTTGTACACCATCACCACAACGGACGTATCGAGAACTAAAAATTAGTAGGTATACATTTGACGTATAACTAGATAATTTGATAAAGGTTCTTGATAAGGGTACAGTTCAAATTTTGATACTTTTTGTTTCAGAGATAAGAGTTTTAATGCACTGTTTCTACTTAAATCTTAGAATCATTAAGAAATACACATTACTTAAAAGTTCCTTTTAAAATTACTGAACGTCAAAGAATTTGAAAAAAAATGTTTAAAATCAACATTTGATGCGAAAATGTAATTATGGACACAGATAATAAAAAAGTTATGAGTTCCGTTTTCACTGAAAGATATAATTACAAGATTGATCATTTGAGTATCAATAGCTCAGACCTGAGGTCTCCGGTTTCGTATATCACTAGTTGCGGCCTTACAACTTTTATTCATTATTTCCTTCATATTTTTAAATCAGTATTTCAATTTTTATTTTCATCCATTTTTAGTCATTCCGAGTACAGTTATATGCGAATTCCTATAGTATCAAATATTTCCAGGGTATCACCATCGGAATCCACTCCGGCGAAGTTGTGACCGGCGTGATCGGTCACCGAATGCCTCGATACTGTCTATTCGGCAATACTGTCAACCTCACCAGCCGCTGCGAGACCACCGGCGTGCCCGGCACTATCAACGTCAGCGAGGACACTTACAGGTATCGATCCAATCTCTCTTATTCATAAAAAATCCTACTAATATTATTAATATGAAAGTTTTTATGTTTGTAACACAATCACGCAAAAACTTCTGAACGGCTTTGCATTAAATTTTATAACGCATATAGTTTACGAATGCCTCGATACTGTCTATTCGGCAACACTGTCAACCTCACCAGCCGCTGCGAAACCATCGGCGTGCCCGGCACCATCAACGTCAGCGAGAACACTTACAGGTATCGATCTACACTCCTGTTCTTCATCAAAATCCTACTTAATTTTATAAATGTGAAAGTTTCTATGTTTGTTACTCAATCACGAAAAAACTATTGAAAGGATTAGGATGAAATTTTTTACGCATATAGCTAACGCATGTCTTGATACCGTCTATTCGGCAACACCGTCAACCTAACCAGCCGCTGCGAAATCACTAGCATGCCCGGCACTGTCAACGGCAGTGAAGACAGGTATCGACCTAACCTCCTCCTTTTCATCAAAAATTCTACTAATATTATTAATGTGGAAGTTTCTGTGTTTGTTATTCAATCACGCAAAAACTACTGAATTTGGATGAAAATTTTTTCGCATATAGTTTATACATGCCTCTGTATTGTCTATTCGGCAACATCGTCAAACACACTAGCCGATGGTTACATCGGTATGCCCGGCACCATCAACGTTAGCGAGGACACTTACAGGTATCGCCTAAACTCCTCTTTTTCATCAAAAATCCTACTAATATTATAAATGTGGAAGTTTCTTTGTTTGTTACTGAATCACGCAAAAACTACTGAATGGGTGTGGATGAAATTTTTTAACGCATATATTTTACGAATGCCTCGATACTGTCTATTCGGCAACACCGTCAACCTCAGCAGCTGCTGCAAGACCACCGGCGTGCTCGGCACTCTTCTTCATCAAAAATCCTACTTTATATTATATATGAGAAAGTTTCTATTTTTGTTACATAATCACACAAAAACTACTGAAAGGATTTGGATGAAAATTGATACGCATATAGTTTGTGACTTGCATTGAGACATACTTTTTATTCCGGAAAATATTAGGTTCCCGTGGGATTGTCTAAAAACTAGAGTTAAGGCGGACTAAGTCACGGGTGGCCACCTAGTTTGAAATAAAATATTTCTTCATTCGAACTGTCCATGACGAAAAAAGACATCACACGATGAAGGATTTCAATAAGTGAACAATTTGATTCAAATAATATAGATGGCCGCACTAGGAATAACTGCAACTCAATTCGATTCGACGAGTGTCTGCTGTTTCGACGCCAGGCTTTACGGCTATCGACGTCAGCAGACACTAACAGGTATCGACATCAGAGAACACTTACAGATATCGACGTTTGAGGACACTTACAGGTATCGACGTCAGAGACATTTTTACAGGTATCGACCTCAGCGAACACTTACAGGTATCGACGTCAGAGAACACTTACAGGTATCGACGACAGTGAAAAGTTACAGGTATCGACGGCAGGGGTTACTTAGAGGTATCGACGTCAGAGGATACTTGCATGTATTGACGTCAGCGGATACTTACAGGTAACGACGGCAGCGGATACTTACAGGTATCGACATAAGTAAACACTCGAATTCAAGCTCAATGCTCAATACAATGAATGCAAGCGCACTGAGCGTAAATTAAAATGTCAAATGTATGGGATTGTCATTAATGAAAGACATAGTCAGGCAATTAAGGCGTAAAGATCCGTCAAGGGTCAATTCTTTTTCTATTAAGTGATGACAACGTGGCGCAAATTTCACTACGAATCCTTTGCCACTTAATCAAGTGCCACCCAATCGGGTGGGTTGGTATTAATGCCAGCGAAGCGCGAAGCGAAGCGAACAATTTCAGCTATTGAGTAGAAACACGGTTGTAACTGTCTGTCATATCTGCAACCATCGTCGTTATCATCCCAATAACGTCCTCACTGCTGGTGATATAGGCATAGGTTGGTAATATTGGTATATAGAGTTGGGCCATGACCTTGTGGAAATATGACTAACGACTATAGATGCAGGACCAAGATCTTCACGTGTCTTCCGAAGCAGGGAGAAAATGTAGACAGGAAATATTTGGTCCCTCAACCTATGCCTGGCTATCTCCACTTTCACGATCGCTTTTCTTTTATTCCTATTATTTTTGGGTAAACGGTACCCTTTGCTATAGACGAAATATAGACGACAAAATTGGTGATATAGGTACAACTAGTTAAATAAAAAAATGATCCTGTGAACTTTATAGCACTTTAATGAAGTTGACATGAGCATAAAAATTTTTCATTTACATTTTAAACAAGTGAATTTTATCTTTTTACGTAAACTTTTAACACAATGCCCTATTGCCCTAGTGGTGTTTATATTCTTGACTATTTCTAAAAAACTGCTATTTATGACTTGGCCACATTTCGCCTTCATAAAAACAAATGATTTATGGTTTAATACCACAAAAGTGTGTACGCTTCGGATGTCTTCTAAGAATTCATTAGACGCGGATGATGTACGCGTCAATGTTAATGTAGAAATTGGAATGGCATGTAATTGGCAAATGGTTGTTTGACGGCTCAATTTTCACTGCAAACAATATCGTGGTGAGATGCTATGATATGACGACAATGATATTCAAAGACATCAAGTAATAGTAATACCAGGTTCGTAATTAATTTTAGTAGGTTTATATCATTTAATACTTTCAGACTAAATAACCTATATTTTAAAAAAGTTTTTATAGTTAATTTTTTTAAAGCCAGAGCAAAATCAACTTACTTAATATAAATATCTGACCTGCATACTATATTTCATATTTGGTAAAATAACCAAACACAATATGTGTACTGTTCGTATTTGAGGAGTTCCGCTGTTTATCTCTAAAATTAATTATCTATAGTTCATGTAATTTTTATACAACTATTTCCCTAAAATACGTTCTCCAAAAAAATCATCAAAATCGAGCAACAATACTTGGAGATAAGCGCGAACAACAATAAAAAATATATATAATGACGAATTGAGAACCTCCTCCTTTTGGAAATTAGTTAAAAAGAAACTAAAATCAATACGGACGAAATCGCGGGCAACCGTTTGTAATAAAAAAAAATATTGTCTTGACGTGCTGATTATAAAATAATCGCGTGGTACTAATCACACTTTCAGCTTCGCATGCTAAAAAACTGCAAATAGAGTTCAAACGGTCGACTAAAAATTAAAATAATAATTTAGTCTGACTATTGAGCATGCTGAGGATATTCTACAGTCTACTGTAAAATTTTGGTTAAAGGTTAAGAAAACTTTTTGCCAGAAATAAACATTATTGATGGATAAAAGAAAAAATATGTTTCATTATAATTTTTAATCATCAAATAAATCTAGATACTTTTTCACTGACAATGGCACAGGTAGCTTTTGTATTCCAAAAGGTAGTTCGAAATTCTTCCAAAGCATCTCGCGGACCATGCATCTACACAAATGCTTCAACTCCACTGGTTTCAAACCGCATCTCGACGTCGGTATCAAATGATCCTCCAATATCTCACCGTACTTCTCTAACGCCACCTTTCTTTGATAGTTATAATCCGTTGGCAATCCCAAATGCTTCATCGCATCTTTATCAACTGAGAAATTTACACTTGGAATTGCTCTCAAAATCAACTTCAAGCAACCGACTAGCTCGTACGGGTACATTCTTTTATATTCCTTCATTCTATCGAGTATTGATTCAACTGGATTTGTGGATACTCCATCACCTGTTATTTGTGCTCCGAATCTAAGTAATATCATTAGCATTTCTGACGATCCCATCTGTATGACGACTCTCACGGGCGATGCTTTTCCACAGCTCTCCAAAGGTACATCTATAAAGCGATAAGTTTTATCCCCTTCTCTGTATTCTAGATTAGCGTTTGTTGCATGATCTAAGAAGTAAACTAGAGCGTGAACATTTTCTTCCTTGTTAGTAAAATCGGATTTCCAGCCCGCCAAGAAGTATGGGGCTGATGTGCCAAATATAGCTCCTATAAAATAAAGCAAATTTAATTATAAAACAAATAATTACATAAGTGACTTTGTTGTTTTACTCATAATTTTGAAATATTTAAATAACAAAAACTTTAAATCTACTTAGAATCCAAATTACCTTAACCTACTTAAATAAATAATTTACAAAATAAAAAAACATGTCGCCCCCAGCGCCGTCGTCAGGAATGGTGCCCAATAGCTTGGCAGCATTGCCACGTTGGATGGAAAGGCTGATTCTTTGACCAAGATAGCTGACAGTTCCTACTTTTGGTTTCTCAATTTTCTTAAATAAGTGATCCAAGAATGGCGATAGTCCTAACTAGAACTTATGCCATGACATAATTTGCTGTCGAGTTTTAAATATGGACACTAGCAGAGTATTCTATATGAAGATTTTTTCCTTACCTAAAAATATCCTCTCAAAAGTTCCCTCGCATGCATAAAGTTCATCCAACAGAGCCGCAACCGTCCCATTATCTTGAAGACTCCAATCGAATGCCAACTTTACTGCAATATATAGAAGGTTGTGATATTTCCCCATGAGACACACGTCACCGTTAGCAGATTTGCGGTTATTGTGATATCTGAGAGTGGATAAAACGAAGTTTTTGCAGGTCGCGTCATCGGATTTGTTTTGACCTGCAAGTAAATGTGAGAAGTCATTCGTTATTAATCAATCATTATTAATTATATGATTAGAGAAATTAAATTAAGAAAGTTGATAAAAGAGACTTTATATTGAGCATACACCTATGGCTATGCTATATTTTAACGTAGTCCAGACTTTAAATATTCTGTCCAGGTAATTAGAAACTTTTGGAGACCTTTTTTAGTAATATGGAATTTAAGATAAAATTACATATTTTAAGTTAATAATGAATTAATTATGGTAAATAACATCTGAAAGAATAGTTAATACTCTTTGAGGTGTAATACTAAAAAGAGCTAAAACACAATTAATTTATGAGGGTTTCAAAACAACATTAACACACTGAAGGGTTAATTAAAACAAACCAAATTTTATACCCATCGCTGCGATATCAAAATCAACAACATAATGACGATAATGATGATTGAAAGTGTTCTGATGTAGAAAACGATGTTTGCATATTTTACGCTCATAAGATTAATGAAAACATTCATGGGCTATAAATGTTAGTTCTGGTCCAAAATGATTTTCAATTAGTGAACCTTGGTCAATCGCTTCGTAACGCTTTCATTCTCTATGATTCGTTATAGCTTGGGCTGCAATAAAAAGCGAGTTTTCTTTTATGGGAAAATTTCGCTATTATTACTACTACACTCGCTACTCGTATAAAATGCTTTGTACCCAAAGAAGCACCCCAGAATAATCTTGAAATATAAAATTTTCATGAATCTTTAATACTATGTTAAGTGCTGCAAATATAACTTGGACTAATGGATTACCGTGGCCTTATATCGATATACAAAATGTTTGGTCTCCCATCCGACGACTAGCCTCAACTTTGGTTGCTTTACTACCACAATCGCAGTCTAATCGTCCTCATTGCTCCTTTACCAACCTTTCGCACAGCCAGCAATGACCGTATTGAAATATTCCACGAGCTCCTTTCTTTTAAGTCTTCCATTCAAACAATCCCTATCCATATTATCGAATACTTCGTCAAAATAAAATTCCATAAAGGTGTCCATTTTATAACAAACAATATCCTGCTTTCGACTAGAGATTTAATTAATAATGCCTGAACATCAACATTAAATCACCGAAATCAGTCCATCTTGAGTGAGGTGAGCGAGTTTACTCATGTAAAGAGACAGGATGATACATGAGTGAAATATATTAGGTAATATCAATTTAAAAAACACTGATAGTCAAGTCAGCCGATACTTATAAAAATTCATAACAGTAATGATTTGATTCCTGCTCAGATACACTCATACACAAAATTTATTAGGCAAATATCACTTTGACGTTATTATTTGATCACAGTTATCACAGATAATAATTCTATCGATAAATACTTTTTAGTCAGACTTTAATTTTAAGACATCCACTTCTCTAAAGAGTTCAGTCTATAATAATAGGAAATCACAAGGCCCCAACACTTACTAGAATACTTGTAAGTGCTTAATCGCTTTACCCTAATGTTGTGGGGAAGCCTTATAGCAGCTATCCTGCAGTTCTTATAGCAATATCCGCTTCGTGATGTCATACTCGTATATGCTTGCTTTACAACATTTTAGTTTTTGAACCGTAAACAAAAAGTTTTGCTTTAAAGCAATGTGAATCTTATAATAAAGTAAACATATGTATCAGGTGCTTAGGGCAGCCATACACTTACTGCTCAAGTAGTCAATAAAACCAATTGGAATTACACCCACTGTATGATGTGTGTGATAAATAAATAAAATATACGTCATCATCATCAGCCTATTAATGTCCCCACTGCTGGGGCACAGGCCTTTCCTATGGATGGAATAGGGAGAATGAGCCATGACTCACCACACGGGCCCAGTGCGCATTTGCGAGTGCTAACGACTACAGATGCAGCCGGGACCAACGGCTTAACGTCCCTTCCGAAGCACGGAGGAACTCAAGATAAAAGTTTTTTGGTCCCCATCCAATGACTGACCACTGCGAAAGTTGCTTAACTTCAACGATCGCCGCCGAACGCGCTTACCAACTGCGCCCTAAAAATAGTAAAAAATATACATTTCTTGTCGTAAATTAACGTATGGCTCCTAAAATTCACCCAATTCCAGTTGTCTTTTTTTCCTTTCAGCTACCTCATGCGCGAAGACAACCACGATGACCAGTTCGAGTTGACGTATCGCGGTCACGTTTCGATGAAGGGCAAGGCTGAGCCGATGCAGACCTGGTTCTTGACCCGGAAGAAGATGTAATCGCCCATGACCTGGGTGCGGGACAAGGGGGAACGTGTGAGAGACAGTCTGGTGGCTATCAACGACATGATACTGGCGAGAATTAACAGTGTTGTCACGGTCTTGTTTAGAAGGAAGTAGATTTACATTCACGTATGATGGAGTCCGGTAAATTAAGACGTATATAAATTACATATTTGTTAAAAAAACAACAGTCTTAGTGGCATTGAATGCTATGATACTAACGAGAATTATCAGTGTTGTTACAGTCTTGTTTAAGGAGAAGGAGTACGGTAAATTATGTATTTATTGATGTTAATATAAAATTAGATGATGAGTTAAGACCTTCGTAAAATGTAGATTTAACAAGTCTTTATACACTTCCGAGTTATGAACCCAGGTCACTTCTATTTAGAAAACTGGCTTAGATCTCTTTTCATAAAATAGTTAATTCCAAATGCATCATCTTAATTTTTAATTGTAGATGTTATATTTATGTCATAATATGATAGTATGTAAAATAGGATATATTATAATCATATATGATGATTTTTTTTTTAATTGGACCCAATTTTGATATCATAAAATACTGAACGAAATGTAAAGCGTATTAAATTATTTTGATTTGATGTTTAAACTCATAACTTCGATAGAACCTTTTAAAAATCTCATTACTTAATAATAAAAAAGGGCTAATTATTATGTCTAATATGAACCTATTCATGGTCTCTTTTTCTATACGTTTTCATGAAATAATATTTATCTTTTGTATTTAAACAGGTACGAATGGTAAGTGCATTTTAAAATCTACTTTTCAAGGCAACGATCAGTACTTTTTCGGCCTAATTCTAAAAAAGTCCTATTTTAGTGTCTAGTTGTTTGTGGTATGCACATAAAGGCCACTTTTCCGTTGTCTTTTAATGTTAAGCCTAAACGAATGTTGTAAAATGCACGTGTTTCCTGTTTTACAATTTTTTTCACGCTGCAGTGAATATATGAATCGATGTGATTTTTTGCACGCATAGATTGTGGTCGATGATGGATATTCTGTTCCAAAAATTCTCACGGGAAAAATGTATTCGAAAGAGGAAGACATGGAAAAAACACCTTTAGGATCAATGTTAACAGAATTTTTAAAGGATTATTTTATGTAATAGATCCCACAGATGAATTCTTTGTATGTTATTTCAAAATTTGATCTGTGCCATGCCCAATAAAAATCAACGTAGGTCTAATTTCGGTATCCGTTAAACGTAAAATTATTTATTTGAGATATCTATGTAGCAATGTTTTTTTAATGAATAACGGCATGGAATTAAATAGCAACTGACATAATCTTATGACCATCGTGTGTTACTGGGTTCAGATCCCAGTTATTCTAATTCCTTGTTAATAACCCAGTCTTCAATCTTCCTGAATTTAAGTAATATTGTCTCAGTCCCAGGTCGTTGTATCACCGTCTTTGTTTTCAATGTTAGCAAGCAGTATAGGCTTAAATAAAAAACGCACTAACGAGATAGAGATTTTTGATATTAGTTCTTTACGATATCAATAATATTCAACAACACAACACAATGCAACAACACATGACATAATGAAAGAATAAATTTAATGTAATTCTGTGTGTGATATCGTTAGTTTTCAAAATTAGTCATGTGATGTTTAACATTTATAATATTTATATGTGTTATTAATTTGTTAATACTTTGATTGTTATATGTTTATTCGATGTATTGTTATATCTTTTGTTATTATTTCCAAATGTCTATTTGTAGTACCCAAAGCTTCTAGTCAATAGATTTATCCAGAGCTTTAAATATATACTCGACAGTTTTTCCAATTTGTGTAACGATAAATTAATTTATGTGCGTCTCATAAAGATTATTATTGGATAGCAACAATTCTTCATGTAATTGTGATACCTGTGTATTAGTAAAATATATATTAAAAGAGGTTTCGTTTCTTTTTTACACGAGGTGCAGCAAATTACTCTACCTCACCTGATGTGAAGTGTAAGTGGAGTCCAGTCGCGAAGATAGATGACGCGGCAGAAAGTGTGCCGCTCTAGACTTCCTCGCCTTACCGGCCTGAATCCAATCCGATACCCCGCCGAGCACTTATTTCTTTTATTACGCAGGGAAAACGTCTATTTACATACGTTGGCGCCCTTAAGGGGTACACCAATGATCGGACCTCGCACCTAGCCTCTCGCAAGTCTCACAGGTGTGAAACGGAGAAGCTGTTAAGAGCCCTTTTAAAAAATTGCGCCGGTGCCGTACTGATCGGCGCGTAGGTAGATTTGCACTAGTAATATTGCATGTTACGGTGATATTTCGAGTCTTATAAAATAATTATTAATGAACTAATTATAAAAATATATACATAAATCAGTAGTTCAATGATAGTAGATTAGTTTTATGAAAGTTTTTGATAGTAATTCTATTTAATTCAATATCAAAATACAAGGTAAACCTGCATTATTTTTTTAGGAAAACTCACGGAGGTTAGATGATTCGTATATAATTAATAAGATAGAAAATCCAAATTCTAATACATTATATTACATTGTAGTAATTAATTTGATCTAATTTATTGAACATTATTTAGAGATTCAGGCGTTTGAAGTTGTGCATATTTTTTTTTCCGTAAACTAGCTGCAGTAGAACGATCAGTACAAAAAAAGGAAAATAGCATTTGCAAATCTACATTAACTTACAATAAGAAGAATGAATGTACTGTTTACTTCTATATGAAATAGTCAAATCTTTCCTACGGGGGTAAATGAGGCGCTCAAAAATTACGATTTTTTGCAAAAAATGTGAAAGGGCTCTTAAGAAGTCCGCGCGGTTTACGAGCGCTTACGGCATGCTACCCGCTGAAAAATATTGCGTATACCGCTGTTTAAGTGTGGAACCGCGAGATCCCCGTACCCCGCGGAGCCCTGGAACCCTACTCACCGACAGAAACACAACACCACCAAGAGGTAGTGTTATTTTACTGTGATCTTCTGTAAGGTGGAGTTGACTTCCCCAGGCGGGCACTCCAATTCAAGAGGAAAATCCGTTATACCCTATCTGTCTTAAATAAGCGTAATTTAGGTAATTTCTATAAAAGCTAGTTAGTAGTAGTAGTCAAAATCCCTTTAGTTTACACGCTGAGTCTAAAATTTAGAGTATCGTAAGTTAATTTTAATTACTCAGTTCCAGAACTCCCACTGTCGTTCGTTGAATGAGGAATTGGGGATCTAATAGTACCAGTTGTCCCATCGCCTCAGCATGGGACAAAAAGTAATTTCTTATTTTATATATTTACACCGATACAACTGTAAACAAACAGGTTGAACATACCATAGAGTATATATATATATATGCTGTATCTATGCTATGAATGTAACAGTGGCCTTCTCCGATGTCCGTATGCATAATTATAAAGTTACCCACTGGTTTATATATCTAGTTCTGTGCTGTTATTATAAACAAGGTGTACAGTTAAATCAATTAGGTTGGTACTGGCAGATGCAACGTTAGGAAATCGATATAAGACGAAATGATGTTAGAAAATAACAGATGTTGAGCTGCCCATCTGCGTGCAAGTTCTTTTTTACACCCGCTTTAGCCCTAAATATTTTTAACTACTTAATAGGTTGTTCATCATCAACATCCTCAGCCTATTAATGTCCCCACTGCTGGGGCCAGGGCTTCCCTATGGATGGAATAGGGAGTTTGGGCCATGACCCACCATGCGGGCCCAGTTGGCGGATGCTAACGACTGCAGATGCAGCCGGGACACGGAGGAACTCGAGACAGAAGATTTTTGGTCACCCATCCATTGACTGACCAATTCGATAGTAGCTTAACTTCAACGCCATCGTCGTTGCGTTGCGCCATCGTGCTCCTCTTTGTCAACTTAATTCAGCGAAACTTTATAGGTTCTTGCTCTAACCTTTTGGCTGTAAAACACATGTGATATTCAATTCAATTCAATTCCTTTATTCCATTAAACAATATAATTATGTTGGAAATAATAAGCAGACATAAATAAAATAATAAATCAAATTACAAATTTTTGATGTCAAAGTGGATTATTAAAATTGTAACAAATAAAAAGAAAATACAAATACACTATGTCAAACTGGATAAAATTCATATATATATATAAAAAAAAAACATGTCAACCTAATCCTGTCTCATAAATTCGTCAACACTGTAATAACACTTCTTCAACAAGAAGTCAGTCAATTTGTTTTGAAAAGATTTGTAATCAATAATCGATTTCAAACTGATTGGAATCCTATTAAAAATTTCGACCGCCTGGTACCTATAGCTATGTTTAACAATCTTAAGTTTAGGTTTGATCAGATGTAGTAGATCCTTTCTGCGTGTTTTCAAACGTCTTTCCCTGTCTATTAGCGTTTCAAAAGTATCAAATTTTTTTGCTAAGTTGCACAAAACTGTTAATATATAAAGACAGGGAACGGTTAAAATCTTCAATTTCACAAAATATTATCAACATGATTCCCATTGTGGAATACGGACTACAGTTCTGATAGCTCTTTTTTGTAACACAAAAGCTCTCTGTTTATTAAATTTATATGAATTGCCCCAAAACCTAATACTATACCGCAAATGAGACTCGACTAGTGCATAATATACTATTTGTAGATGTTCTACTGTAATATCGTCACGTAAGCTTCTTAAACAATAACAGGCTAAACTATTTTTTTTCTTAATTTTCTCCAATTGTTGCTTCCAGTTGAGGTATGAGTCAATATAAATTCCTAAAAACTTTACTATTTCTACTAGATTTATATTTTTGTGGTTTAAAGTAATATCCAAATTTTTTTTATTTCTTGCCGTCGTACGAAATAACATTATATTGGTTTTGTCAAAATTTAAAATAAGGTCATTTGCATCAAACCAATTACTAAATGCTGATAGAGCCTGCTTAGTTTTACGACTTAGATCTTCACTAGCTGGCTGAAATAACTGCACTAGTGTCGTCCGCAAACAGAGTATTTTTTATGTCATTAATATTATCACAAATGTAATTATCTAAATCGTTGATAAATAATAAAAATAAAATTGGTCCCAATATTGATCCCT